ATAGAATAGTGCATAAGTACGCGATTTGGGAGGCACCTACAGTATATTACGTATTTCTTGGCACACTCATTTTACACGTATTTGGCGATTCTTTAACAGTAGAAGTGAAATCTTATTGTAGTCTTCAGATCTGGGTACTGTCTTAACACTTTAAAATCACTTATAGAGGAAGTTTGGTCCCATCAGGCTAACATGACAGTCACGACTCGAGCGGCTGTAAGCTTTTCTTTTTCTTTTGTTTTCACTCGCGATCTTCTAACAACAGTATGACACACAAGCTGCATCCCAAATGACGCACTATACACTATGCACTCATACACTATGTACTTAAGTACTATGTACTCAACCATGTAGTGTATGAATTATATAATATATAATCTGTCTGATAGCCCTTCCCCCTTCGCTACGTAATTAAAGCTACGACAGTTGCGTGCATAAAGTGTCCAACATTCCACACTGTTTTTTCGGTTATTTAAGTGCATAATTCGGGTATTTAAAGTACGCTTTTTATTTTTGGAATTTTCAGTGTGAACGCACTACTTGCACCATTTATACTACAAAACATCATAGAATAGTGCATAAGTTCGCGATTTGGGAGGCACCTACAGTATATTACGTATTTCTTGGCACACTCGTTTTACGCGTATTTGGCGCGTATTATTGACATTTCAAAGTCTAGACCAGGGTTTCTCAAATCTTACCCTGGAGGTCCAATGCGCTGCAGAGTTTAGCTCCAACCCTGATCAAACTCAGCTACCTGTGATTTTCTAATGATTCTGAAGACATTGATTAGCATGCTCAGGTGTGTTTGATTAGGGTTAGAGCTAAACTCTGCTGGAAAGTGGATCTCGTGGGCCAGATTTGAGGATCCCTGGTCTAGACACTGAATATGAGACGACTGCGTTTTTTTCAGATGTATTTCCAAGAAAAAAAACATTGTCTTATATTCGGGTCAATACAGTAATTTACATTTAACCATTTTAATATGGAGAGGCACTGAAATGTAGACCTTGGTTTAAGTGTTTTTGACCTACACTGTACAAGACGTGAGAACAGTTTGCTATTTATGTTTGTACGTTAGCATGGACTCACTAATTTTAACGTTAGCTAGTTTTAGCCAGAAATACCTTGCTGAAGCACAAGATGATATTAAAGGGGTCATATGATGTTGCTAAAAAGAGCATTATTTTGTGTATTTGGTGTAATGAAATCGTGTTTATGCAGTTTAAGGTTCAAAAAACACATTATTTTCCATATACTGTACATTATTGTTTCTCGTCTATGCCCCGCCTTTCTGAAACGCATCGATTTTTACAAAGCTCATCGGTCTGAAAAGTGAGGTGTGCTCTGATTGGCCAGCTATCCAGTGCGTTGTGATTGGCCGAATACCTCAAGCGTGTGACGAAAATGTTACCCCCCTTATCATATTGTGATGCCTTGTCCCGGCCGGAGCAACAAGACAAAAACATTAAAACCCATTTTAAACGAGGCATTTGTTGCATCCAGTGGGGACATAATTACATATTATAATGACTTATACTGTCTTTTTACGCATTGCATTGCATCACGCCGCGTAAACATAAAACCATGTCTGCATTTGTGATCGGAGAAATGACAAACAACAAATGCTACTCTACACTGCTCAACACTCGCGTTTGAATCATCAGTGGCAAATTCTTTAAAGGTCCCCTGAAATGCTTAGAAACATGCAGCGTTACTCTGTGTTGACGTCATTTTAACTGAAAGAGGAAGACAGGGTGGGATATATCAAGCAGCCCCGCCCCTTTTTAAAATAGCCAATAGCGTTCGTTTATATCACAGCTTGGGCTAGAGCCGTTCAGAGCCGTTGAGCTCCGTAAAGCATTTGACATGGTATGCCAGCCACAGTCTTATCCATATTGCTATAAAATATTGCATTCTGTGTAGAATTCAAATAGCTCCGATACATTTTACATTACGATACACGCATGTGATCCGCTCCGTGTCACTGTCTCTCTGGACCGGAGCAGAGTGTGTGTGCGGTGTGGTGGTTAGCATGACACAGCGCAAAACTTATTTCTTAAGACTTATTTTTTTCCTCAATGGAAAGCATATTTACACTGTTTGAATCGTTCCCTGTCCCCTATATAGTGCACTACGTGCCATTCACTGTACAGAAAATACTAATTCTGTGGACAAGTGACCAATTTCAGCCGCGGCTTCAGCGTCTATTTTATAGTGTAGGGTAGGCCTGTCACGATAACAACTTTTTGTTGTGCGATATATTGCCCCAGAAATAATTGCGATAAGCGATATTATTGTCATTTTAAACACCATTTTATGCCACTGAATATATAATCATAATGTAATGGTATAATAATGCAAGAAGGCCTACACACTTCCAAATGACAACACATTTTTAAGAATATTTAGATCATGGAAATTAAGTATCAAAATATTAAGATACCTTAAAAACCTGAATATATAGTAAATAAACATTTTCTAACAAAAAGTGCAAAGTAAAAAGAGAAAAATGCACAAAGAACTTGTATGGAGATTTTTCCATCTACAGATTTTTCCCTGACCTTCTTTTCTCTGTAAATGAAGGGTGCACACTATTGCTGAAAAACACAATCACTACTTGGCAGTCAGATGTCCGTATGCACAAAGGCACAGATCCCTAAACAAGACCATATCTGCAGATTAAACTTTTTAAACTTTTCATGCCCTTTACCATAGCTGCCTGCGAGCTTCAGTGTAAATATTGCGTCAAAATCAAATCAGTTTGAGCGCGATTTAAACCCAGATGATTGTAACCACTCTAAGTTCGTCTGCCTTGGGAAAGCTAGCGTGTCTCCGGATTAAACTTTTAAAGATTAAACTTTTTTTGTAGAAGCATTTTTTTACATTTGAGCTAGTACCTCATGACTACACCACGTTATGTACGAGAAGCTGCAAAAGACACCGGCGCAAGTGGAATGTACAAAAAATAGTAACATTAATTTTTAAGTAAATATAATGGACGATATATTGCGTCACAAAAAATTATTGAGGTCATGTACATATATTGCGCGATAAGTCGATATATTGATTATTGCGACAGGCCTAAGTGTAGGGGGTTGGCACTTCGGATTCTAGAGAGCATTTGATTGGACAAAGTTTGATGAGAAGCTAAAGTACGATGTGATGTCAAAAAAATCGTTGAGCCGTTTTGGCGGAAGTGACGAACTGCAAGCTTTGAATGCTTATATCTTCTAAATGCGAATTGTATCACTGTTTTGGAGCACACTGCCTTATAGATAACCTTAAGACTAACATTTTGATACTAACACCCAAAAAACTTTAATTTTGATTTCATGGGGACTTTAAATATAAAAAACGTACTTACAGTCTGTGAGTCAGAACAGCTAGCATTGTAGTCTACTCTACCAGGATCAGGAAACAGTCCTCCATAAAATGCGCTGGACACATCTGAATATTTGGGTTGAACTATTCTGGAACAGTGTTGTAAATGCAACTTAACCACTGATTTCTAGTCGTGTCCTCTCTTGGAAGGCCATACAAAGTAGTTTCGCTTTCACAACAAAACACAGCGTCACACACGGCGGGCTAGAGTGAGCGGAGGCCGGCAGGTTAGAGTGGGCGGAGGCTGGCTTGAGGGAGCGGCGGCGGGCAGGCTTGCGGCAACCACATGTGGCGACCCCGGGCTGGAATCTGCTTCGTCCACGGTGAATGCCGATCCGTTGATCCACAGTGCTAAGTTGATGTATTTCCTCAGCGACCAGCATGGATCAGCTCCAGGCATGATGAAGCGGATATCGTCCTCTTTTGGAAGGCCAAACAAAGTAGTTTCGCTTTCACAACTAAACACACAGCACCTTCACGACATGGCGGCGGCAGCAACAACAATACTACAGCGAGAATAAAAGTTACGCCGCCTTTCTTTGCGTGAACATTTGGGTGGCATTATGCAGATCTTCCCACATCACGACGTAGACATGTGGGGGCGTGTTAGAACAAGCCGTTTTAGGTCGGCGTGGTTGACTCTTAACATTTATAAAGAATGTCTCTTTGGATTTAAGACTTTAGTCTTTGCAACTTTACAGATCTTCTTTATGCACCAAGAGCTTGTAACACTCCAAAGAAAAAGGAAAAATTGAAATCGCATCATATGACCCCTTTAATGTTCTGCTTGAGCAGATGAAAATTGTAACTTAATGACAACCAGAAAATGAAAGTTTTTGTCTTCATTGGGATTAGGGTTGAATGCTTACAGACATTTTGCTCTGTTTTGTTTGGGTTTAGGAAATACAAATTATTTATTTTAATTTGGAATTAAAATAAATTCCATTGCCCATCCTCTCAGGATGCCTGGAATCAGTGTTACAAGTACCCCAGGCACATCGTTTTTCCATTTTTGTAGCATAAACACCATCAAACCGATGAAAGCTTCGGATCTTCCAATGTTTCTCTATGGTGCTGAAACCTAATGATGTCCGAGTTCCGCTCCCCGTGCAACTGATACTCGACTCGGCTCATCTGCGTTCGAGGGGAGGGGCTTAACAATAGGTCAATTCTAGAAAGGATTCTGCTCCTGTTTCTCCCATGCTTCTAGAGAATTCCTCAGCAGGTCGAGCTGGAGAACTCTGACCTTTCAGTAAGGCTGCGAAGTGCAGAATATTGATGAGCGTAACCAGCAGATTTCCTTTCATAAGGTCTGAACTGGCTTTTACTGCTGCTCAGAGGCAGCCGTCCGTCTCACTGCTGTACGCAGGCGCTCTTTACATGGGAAAATGTCAGAGCTGCATTTAGACTTCCACTCCCCTGTTGTTTTACACTGTCTGAAATATGTATAGTGTTCACTCAATGTCTTGGAGTTTACCATACTTTTTTTTTTTTTTTTTCTTTTTGGTTCTTGTCAGAATGCATTTCCATTTCTCCCCTCCGAATCATCTCTGCTATCTCCATCGATAAATAGAGCCTTAATTTTTCTCACTCTTTCACACCTCTTTGTTTTTTAGCTTTGTAAGCTCCTGGCCGAGGAAAAGGACACCATTAGAAGGGAATACTGGAATTACGTGTCCCGTTCTCTGCAGAACACGTATGGCTCAGGTGACCCCATTTCCTCATCCTCTGACCCGTCACCTCCTCCCACGTCCCAGCAGCCCGACATGGAGGCCAGTGACCCTTGAGGAGAAACGCAGGCCTGGACACATGCTTAGACAGAGAAATTCTGAGACATGATAGACTCTTTATCTTTGTATGAGTGCTTGGGTGTGCAGGCTTTAACAGCAGCTCTTGTAAGTCAGAACGGTGTAAAACTCCAAGTAGCCAAGTTCTCTGCAGAACACGTATGGCTCAGGTGACCCCATTTCCTCATCCTCTGACCCGTCACCTCCTCCCACGTCCCAGCAGCCCGACATGGAGGCCAGTGACCCTTGAGGAGAAACGCAGGCCTGGACACATGCTTAGACAGAGAAATTCTGAGACATGATAGACTCTTTATCTTTGTATGAGTGCTTGAGTGTGCAGGCTTTAACAGCAGCTCTTGTAAGTCAGAACGGTGTAAAACTCCAAGTAGCCATATGCTTAAACACACTCAGAGTGAACTGTACAGTGAATAAAATGGACTGTGGGAGTTTGGCAGTTAATCATACCAGTCATACTTATGTTTTAGACTAGCATCTAAGTTTTCCGAGGTTAAAAGTGTCATTTATCAAAGCGAATACATTGCCGACATGCTTCAGGTGTAGTCAGAAACTTTTCTTGCCAAAGCATCTTCTGGTCTGTGTTACCAAACTCTGCTCAGACTGTGACTGTACACGCTTTTTTTCGTATGTTCAGAAATAATAATGGATAATGCTAAAGCTGATTGACTTATTTTTTTGTCGTCTTACATTTCCTGGTTGAAATAGAATCTGAAAGTGACGTGTTACTAGAAGACTGTTGTCAATGCCATTTTTAGCAGATACTTAACCAATACTATACTTCATTTTTTACATTGTTTTATTCTGTGACAGAAACAGGCCTCCATAGCTCATTGCTTTTCTGTCAGGACAGTACAGGTATGAGAAAGTCTGTCCTTTATAGCTTCCAGTGAAGGATATTTCTACTTCATTAACATAAGCTACTGTTTGCTATTATGAGTCATTTTTTTGTTACTAAGCACAGGCTGTATTTACTCTGACTTCAGCAGACATCTGCGGGCAGAGATGGGTCAAAGCAGGACAGCTTCCCTAAAGTACAAGGGGGTAATGATCCTCGTTCAAGGGCACTCATCTGATGAAGAGCCCCGTGGCAGGATCTGAAGTGTTTATGGTGCAGAGCCCTGGCAATGAGACCTTGCCGCTGTAGCATTAGAACATTACAGTATTGAGCTCATCAGAGAAAGAGAACAAAGTCAGAATTGCGTCAGAATTAAAGTCCTAACAGCTGATTAAGACTGTTGTCAATGCCATTTTTAGCAGATACTTAACCAATACTATACTTCATTTTTTACATTGTTTTATTCTGTGACAGAAACAGGCCTCCATAGCTCATTGCTTTTCTGTCAGGACAGTACAGGTATGAGAAAGTCTGTCCTTTATAGCTTCCAGTGAAGGATATTTCTACTTCATTAACATAAGCTACTGTTTGCTATTATGAGTCATTTTTTTGTTACTAAGCACAGGCTGTATTTACTCTGACTTCAGCAGACATCTGCGGGCAGAGATGGGTCAAAGCAGGACAGCTTCCCTAAAGTACAAGGGGGTAATGATCCTCGTTCAAGGGCACTCATCTGATGAAGAGCCCCGTGGCAGGATCTGAAGTGTTTATGGTGCAGAGCCCTGGCAAAGAGACCTTGCCGCTGTAGCATTAGAACATTACAGTATTGAGCTCATCAGAGAAAGAGAACAAAGTCAGAATTAAAGTCCTAACAGCTGATTAAAAAAGGAAGCATTATTATGGATAATGGACTCAGTTTAAAGTTGAAATGCCTCGATTAATTTGTTTCTTAAAAACACAGCTTTTCACTTCACAAGACATTAATTGATGGACTGCAGTGGTGTGGATTGCTTGTGGATTATTGTGATGCTTTTATCAGCTGTTTAGACTCATTCTGATGGCACCCATTCACTGCAGAGGATCCAATGTGATGAAATGCTAAATTTCTCCAAATCAGTTCCCATGAAAAAACAAACCTTACTTGAAATAAAACTGTTATACTACATGTTGCATACCCTGAAAAACAGGCAGTTTGTTAGTTGCATGGCCATTTATGAAGGCTTGTAGCTAATAAATGAATGTTTAATACATTGTTCTAAACTAAATTAGTGCTTAAAGAATAGTTCACCCAAAAATGAAAATTCTGTCATTAATTACTCACCCTTATGTTGTTCAAAACCTGTAAGACCTTCGTTCGTCTTCATTTATTTATTTATTTATTTTTTGTGCGCAAAAAGTATTCTCGTAGCTTCATAAAATGAAGGTTGAACCACTGATGTCACATGGACTATTTTAACGATATCCTTACTACCTTTCTGCATTTTTAGCAGATACTTAACCAATACTATACTTCATTTTTTACATTGTTTTATTCTGTGACAGAAACAGGCCTCCATAGCTCATTGCTTTGCTGTCAGGACAGTACAGGTATGAGAAAGTCTGTCCTTTATAGCTTCCAGTGAAGGATATTTCTACTTCATTAACATAAGCTACTGTTTGCTATTATGAGTCATTTTTTTGTTACTAAGCACAGGCTGTATTTACTCTGACTTCAGCAGACATCTGCGGGCAGAGATGGGTCAAAGCAGGACAGCTTCCCTAAAGTACAAGGGGGTAATGATCCTCGTTCAAGGGCACTCATCTGATGAAGAGCCCCGTGGCAGGATCTGAAGTGTTTATGGTGCAGAGCCCTGGCAATGAGACCTTCCCGCTGTAGCATTAGAACATTACAGTATTGAGCTCATCAGAGAAAGAGAACAAAGTCAGAATTGCGTCAGAATTAAAGTCCTAACAGCTGATTAAAAAAGGAAGCATTATTATGGATAATGGACTCAGTTTAAAGTTGAAATGCCTCGATTAATTTGTTTCTTAAAAACACAGCTTTTCACTTCACAAGACATTAATTGATGGACTGCAGTGGTGTGGATTGCTTGTGGATTATTGTGATGCTTTTATCAGCTGTTTAGACTCATTCTGATGGCACCCATTCACTGCAGAGGATCCAATGTGATGAAATGCTAAATTTCTCCAAATCAGTTCCCATGAAAAAACAAACCTTACTTGAAATAAAACTGTTATACTACATGTTGCATACCCTGAAAAACAGGCAGTTTGTTAGTTGCATGGCCATTTATGAAGGCTTGTAGCTAATAAATGAATGTTTAACTGAAGTTTAATACATTGTTCTAAACTAAATTAGTGCTTAAAGAATAGTTCACCCAAAAATGAAAATTCTGTCATTAATTACTCACCCTTATGTTGTTCAAAACCTGTAAGACCTTCGTTCGTCTTCATTTATTTATTTATTTAGAAGGCTTGTAGCTAATAAATGAATGTTTAACTGAAGTTTAATACATTGTTCTAAACTAAATTAGTGCTTAAAGAATAGTTCACCCAAAAATGAAAATTCTGTCATTAATTACTCACCCTCATGTTGTTCAAAACCTGTAAGACCTTCGTTCGCCTTCATTTATTTATTTTATTTTTTTTGTGCGCAAAAAGTATTCTCGTAGCTTCATAAAATGAAGGTTGAACCACTGATGTCACATGGACTATTTTAACGATATCCTTACTACCTTTCTGGGCCTTGAACGTGGTAGTAGTTTTGCGGTCTATGCAGGGACAGAAAGATCTTTTGTATTTCATCAAAAATATCTTAATTTGTGTTCAGAAGATGAACAAAGGTTTGGAACGACATGAGGGTGAATAATTAATGACAGCATTTTCATTTTTGGGTGAACTATCCTTTTAAATATTAGGTGCGGGTGCAGTTTCTTTATACTGCTAGTAGTAATAGTTTTCAGATTAAAATGAAACTTTAAAGAGCTTTTAATAAAATATCAATTTGACTTGATTCCAATTTAGTCATTGGTTTGATGTGTTAACTTTGCTCACTCATTGCCTGATTTAGATGTTAATATTTCAGAACTGCTCTGTTGAGGATGTTTAAGCACAAATCAGATTTGTATTGACATTTCTAAGCAATGCTGCATTGAATCAAGGTCACAAAAACAGAAAAAATGCTGCCAAATATTTTCATTTCATATTGTAAGTGAGCGTGCTTAGACCAGAGGCTCTGGAGCTTAATTGAGATGCACTATAGTGTGAGAAAAGAGGATTGTATCTCATTTCCAGATGCAGGACATCGACCGTCCACAAGAAGAAAACAATGCCTTCCAAATCACGCAGAGAGAGCTGCAGAATACAGAGCATAAAGAGCCCAGGACGCAAAGGTAACTTTCCTTTGAACTTTGCTGCATCTTCACTCAGGTAAACTTGAAAGGAATGAGGTTTAGATGCAGCAGGATGATTTGTGGTGTTCGACAAGATGTCAGAGGCAAGTGACGGTGATGGCTATTACCCCTGTGACAGTGACCGACTTGTGGGTTACTGGTAAATTTGGCCCTTGGGACTGTCTGGTCTTTAAAGGTGTAGATGTTTTCTGTCCTTTTCTATTCTGTTTTATTTCCTTTTTCAGGGCTTTGATCACATCAGAATCGGCTTTTTAAATAAACTATAAGTTCATTCTTTTCTTGGTTACTTTTATGGCTTTGTTCAGAATTAAATATAAGCATTGTGCTGTGTGTGTGTGTGTGTATATATATATATATATATATATTTTACACTTCCAGCCATTTAGTATAGTATGTGAAACTGTACGCCACAAACTTTTCAAACATTTGTATGCTGCTTTGTTGTCATTTGACCATATTACTTTGCATGTTTAGCTATAAACATGGTTGCAGTTTAGCTACCTTCAAGGAGGTTATTATTAAAATTGTTTGATACTCAATTGACCTGAAAGAGAAAGCTGGTGAAATGGACTGAAAATGCCACATTATATCGCTATCAGTTCATTCAGCACACTAGAAATGGCAAGTCAGGTTGGGAGCATTGCATTATGGGGCATAATGCAGCATTGTGGAAGCTATTCTGAAACTGCTTGCTAAGCTACAAGCTCATCTGTTAATATTTAACATCCAAGCTACTGTTTTGAACAGCTAGTTGGCTACAAAAAATAGCTATCCAGTGATATATTATAGTCTGAGTTGAGCCAAACCAATTCACTCGAATTGATCAGAATAGGCCTAGACCCAGCATAAGAGAAACAAAGGA